GACGTAACTGCAGTACAGCAGTCTCCTGGTTTCTAGTAAAAATAAAGCAATATTGCTACTGTTTAAATCTGCGTGTAATAATGTTTCCATAGAGGACAATTTCAGACATCTTTGTACTAGTCTTCCTGAGTTTTGGAAAGATGCCAGCTTGGCAAGCAGAAAAAATGAAAGAACAGTACTGAAAATATCTAGTCTGGGACAGTCTTACTGTCACCACACAGCAGGTTTGAACAGAAGCAAAGTTGGACAGGAGACTCTGCCCAGTTTTCTTCATGGTGAGTTTTGGAGTGCCTGCTGTGTCTGAAGATGAGAATAAAGCATTTTGGTCTTTAGAAAATTTGAAGTATCTGGGACATAGTGGAATACGAGTTTCACATTCTGAAGTGTTACTCTTGTCTCAGGAGTTTATTATTGTTTCCGTCTCCAACCCCTGTAACTTCTGTTTTGGGGATTTCACAAAAGTTATGGAAAAAACAAAACCTTTTTTGGGGACATACCTGTATTTGATACTCCTGTCAGTTTGCTAGAGAATCAAGAAAATCATATAACCTACATGGAAATGCACAGGAAATTGCCATCTATGAACATAGTTGGGTTGTTTTATTGAGTTGAAGACTCTTTCTTAAGACAATGTTAAGCATCTAGAGGAAATGTCTACTTGGAAAAGACATCAAATCTAGACACGAATCCTAATGAACAGCTTTTTGATACTAAAGATACTGCAAATTATTACAGAACTTTATGCCCTGTCTTTGAAAGCAATGTAATAAGATTTGTCTTATGACTGTAAACACTAATGGACTGCAATTAGAGTGTAGTAGTTAACTGAAAGACTAATCCAGGTTCAAGTACTGACTAATAAACTAAACAATTGATACAATTTTGTCCTTTTGATCTTGAATCACTAGCTGATGTTTATAGCAGTGCAAAAAGTTCTCCATCAGTAGAATGTGTATCTCTTTGCGTTAGTATAAGTGTATCTGGAAGCAAGTAGGAATCAGTATTGTGGGAGGTATGTTTGACTTCCCTCTTTCTTACTCCATCTGTATTGTGAGTGGAGTTTCAAAATTTGATCACTGCTAGGCTGGGTGCTCAGCAAGTTTAGTGATGTGCTGAATAGATTGGGAAGGCTGTAAGGAGTTTAAAAGAAGGCAATTTGATCAGTGAATGTCTTTGAATTTGGCCTTTCTGACCATCTGTGCTATCTTAAAGCTTTTGGCAGGGGAATAAGATGATTAAGGTAGTTCTGAAAAGTCAGGGATTGCAGGCGCGATGCGTGTCTGCATGTGCTCTTTGTTGGCTTTAAATGACATCTTTCTAGAATTCTCTTAAAATGATCGTCCTTTTACTGTCAAAGAACATAATTAGTTCTGTTTATTCCAGGCAGCCTTCCAGATTTGAAAGCGTACACAGAAACACAAGCTGCCAACTATACTTCAAAACTGTTTCTGTTTACATTTTTGCTTTCCAAATCCAAAGCCTGGAGGTGTGCTTACATGTGCAAATAAAATGTATGTGTACACAGAATGACTGTATGCACCATTCCAGCATGGCTGTATCCCACTTTAAAACAAAAGCTGCTGTTTTGGTGCAGTTGCTCTGAAGAGAGTATAGAATTTGGGTTGTCATGTCAGGGCTGTTAGCAAGTCTGAAAAGCAATGGTATTGAGTTGGCAGTTAATGTTCAGAATTTTTAAAAAGCCAAGGTTGAGATTTATTTTGAAGAGATACTTGTCTAAAATTATTTAACATGGGTCCTCTAGCCCTGTAGTCTCTTCTTTGTTGGCAATTATTGGTGGGGAGGGCAGAAGAATTTGCAGTGGAACCTCCATTTTTTGAAGCTGAACTGGCTCAGTGCTGCTCCAGTTGTCCTCAGCCTCTAGACCCGGGTATTCTGACCCCTTGGTGGTCACAGTAAGACAGCTAAACCAGAAGAAGCTAACCCAAGAAAGGAAAAGTGAGTAGTTCTCTGCCACTTGAATCCATCTGACCCTGTAACGAGCTGACTCAGGGAGCACTGATGCCAGCATGAGGACACACACCTTGTGCAGGGAGAAGATGGGCTCTTACAACCATCAGTTCAGAGGAGCATCATTGGGACTGTGGAACTGAGTTTAAAAGGCTGCGAGTACAAACTCAATCTGTGTTGTCAATAGTTAATTTGATTGTGGTCCATCTGTATTACCATTGTATGTGTGGACAGAAGAGTTCCTAGGACTGCATGTTCTTGTCTTGGTGGGTTTTTTCAAGCTGGTATGTGCCTTACAGTAAGGGGTTTCTGCCCATGCTTGTAATTAAGAAATGTGATTCACTGGTATGGAGAAGGAGTCTTGTTCATGCTTTTCCTGATCAAAAAGATGTTGTTTAACCTGCGTGTATTTCTTCTTGTCTGTAAACTGAGGTTGTTTATCAGTAGTTAAGAATTCTCCAATTTACTCTGAATGGTGTTACTTGAGTTCATTTGTAATGTAGTGTAACTGGTAAGCTTTCCAAGTTTGGCTCTTTAAATACACTGGAGTGTGCTTAGAACTTTCCATTTCAGCATCCGCTTTCTGAGACTATTACAACAATAAGAAAAATAAAACAGCTTCTTTAAGCTTTTTTTTTTTTTTAAAAAAAAACAAAACACAACTCAGTTGCAAAGTGCTTCTAAATACACATGAGGTGTTACTGGGAAAACGTTTTTTTAAACCTTCAGTGGCACTTTAGTACTTTTGTTGATATTTTTAAAAGCTGAAACTACCGCTACAAAGGAGGGATAAAAAAGACAACCCTTATTGCTAGTCTGAGTTGCTTAGGAAGCAGTGGATTTGGGGAAACAACATTTTCATTCTAATGCTTCTTTTTAAGAACTGAAGTGTGGCAAAAGCAGGTACTGGATGTACTTGGAAGAAAGCCACTCAGAAAATATGTACCAAGGCATAGAAGTGCAGAAATTAAAATAATTTTATTACATATCTATGTATTATGTATTTATAAGTTTATATATTTATACATATTCTCTATATTTCTATACATAATGTTTTTTTTTAATAGCTGAGCAAGGGCAAGCTGAACTTTGATTGCTTTTCCACAATTGGAGCTTTTAGAAAGCTGATGAAACAGAAGAAGTGTGAAGCTGTTGTTTTCGGGTTTTTCTCCTACTTTCTGCTATTAAAAAAAGAAACTAAGAGGGATATAGAGGGATAATCCTGAGAGTGTTCTTGACTCAAAAGAAGACAGAGTGGCTTTGGAATAGTAGCCTGGTAGCTATCCTAGCCCTGTGCTTTCAGGATAATGGGCTGATGGAGGAGGTGTGATGGATGATGGTCTGCCCTGTATATGTCTGTTGGTATTACCTTCTCTGATAATGTACATGGCGAAGTTAATTAAATTATGGAGTAAGTGAAGGGGCATTATTAGAGATTTGCATAACGTGATGGTCTCTCTGGTTACTTACTGTTCTGCACTGACTGCTTGGGTCTGTGGACTTAGTTCAGTGAAAATGTCTTGCTGCACAGTGACAGTCGGGAAGCAACTTACTAGGAAAGCAATAGAAAATGTCACTTTGTAGATGCGTGCTCAGTTTGGACCTTGAATGTGGTTTTCAGATACAGTTGTTCCACCTCTACCTTGCAAAAAAGATATGGTAAAGGTGGAAGAAATACAGAGAAAGTGGCAGGGATTAACAAAAATATGGAATGAGTTTCGGGCAGAGAAGGACGAATTAATCTTTAGTATTCTGGAGAAGAAGTGCAGAGGTCTTAATGGATCTCCATACAATTAAGAGCAATTAATGCAATAAGGAACTTTGTTTCATTTAGGAAATCTGGGGTGTCAGGTGAAAGTAGCAGGCTTCAGAAGAAGGAAATGCAAATGTTTTTTTTAATGTGGAATGTTCTTCACTGTTCTTGCAGGATGCCAACAATTTGTGTATGAAAACCTCTTGGACAAACTCAATAGTTATTGATGGATTTCTTTCACAAATACATAAATCTTGCCTCTAATTAAGGAAATAAAAAATAGCTAGCAATTAGTAGAGTTTGTGGATTAAATAGGTGTGCCTCCCTATTTCTTCTGCTCTTTCTTTGGCATCTGCTTTTGGCCACTGGACTCCAAGACATCTGCTCTGTCCAGAGACAGTATTTCTTGTACCTGCAAAAAAACTGAAGCATTAATTTGCCTAATCTGAGCAGAACTGATTATTTGTATCTCATCTAGCCTAAGGCAGTGCTGCTAGAAGGTCAGACACATGTTCCCCTCTTTTCCTTTGGCTTGGGAAAGATATTTGTGTGGCTGCCAAAGGGAACTAGACCAGGGAATTGATCCTAAATAGAACAAGCCGAACCAAAAAGTATTAATGGAGCTCAGTTCTTCCGTCTTATTCGTGGGAAAAAGTTTGTTGCCAAACTAAGGCCAAGTTTTGTGCTTACATTTGGTTCTTAAAATCAAGTTTAGAGGGTCTAGTAAGTATTTATTATGTTAGTGGTGTGTGAATACTCGACAGGTTTGAGATGACAAATTAATATTTACTTATTTTTTTTAAGTAAAGCATTGATTTGACTAAGCTGAGCAGAACTGATTATTTGTATCTCATCCAAATGTTAATGTTTCCCTTTCCAATTTAAAAATGTGAAGAATCGGGTTTGAGATTTGCTTAGAAATGCTGTAATAATAATCTGAATATCAGATTTTTTCATCCCCCATGCTATTTATTTGTTTTAATCATAAGTTATAAACTTCAGGTAAAAAAAAAAAAATCCTCTCCTTTTTAAAAAAAAGTTGTCATTTTTTCCAAACTGATCTGATTCTCCTCTTAACTGTATTACTTGAGTATATATTTACATTAAATACAAGTTCCTTAGACATCAGTTTTACCAAGTTTTTTATGAATTAAATAGAGCTGTGAATATTAATCTACAATTATAAGCAATATTTGAACAATGTTATCTGAAATTTCTGTGATGTTCATATTTTAAATTTTAATACTTAAATATCTGATTTTTACCCAGGTTTGCTTGCACAAATCACTGCTTGAAAAACTTCCAGTACAAAGTTATCTAAAGCCTTCAAAATGCCTCCACGACCATCATCCGGGGAACTATGGGGCATCCACTTGATGCCACCGAGGATCCTTGTGGAGTGTCTTCTCCCAAATGGAATGATAGTGACTCTAGAATGCCTCCGTGAGGCCACCTTACTAACTATTAAACATGAACTCTTTAAAGAAGCGAGAAAATACCCTCTTTATCAACTCCTTCAAGATGAATCTTCTTACATTTTTGTAAGTGTTACACAAGAAGCAGAAAGAGAAGAATTTTTTGATGAGACACGGAGACTTTGTGACCTGCGACTATTTCAGCCTTTTCTAAAAGTCATCGAACCAGTAGGTAACAGAGAAGAAAAGATTCTTAATAGAGAAATAGGTGAGATTGTTTATTCAAACATAGCTAACCTGTTTAACTGCTTTCTCCTCTTAAAGATCAAATAGCTACGTTGTTTGTCACCTGTATCTCTCAGTCTGCATTTTGTAATTGTCACTTGTTGCATCAAATGTTAAAAGATGCTGAACATAGTAAATCCAAAATCCATAAACTGTGAATGATTTTTTTGCTATTGTGCTTCATTCACCTGTAAAGTCTTTGCTTTGTAAATGTTTGTAGTTGTGTGTGGGTTAGAGCATGTTTTTTGCTTGTCTTTTATTAGCAGGATTTCATATTATTAGAGTGAAGCCTAGTTGTACCTGTTCTGTTGATTGGGAAGTCAGTTTGTCTTCAAGCTCACAGAATTGCAAATTCTGGATTTAATTACAAATCTTAAAACACATTTGCAATAGCATGTTTTAATACTGCTCTGTATTGCTTAGAAAGTAAAATTTCAGAAATGCAGTGTTTTCCTCCCCTGCATGGAGAAGGGAGGGAAACAAAAATACCTGCTGTGACGCAAGAAGGTGAATTGTGATGTTTTGAATCATCTCTTAGAGTAGTTCATCATTTTCCATTATCCATTGAGCATGCCCAGGGAGACCAGCAGGCATTGCAGCATCCAAGTACAGTACCTAAACTCAGTCAGTGCAGGCACTGTTCAGATTCAAACAGATGTGTATTGCAGTGGTAGAGACTTGTCAGCTGGAAATACTTGTTCTGGGGTGATCCTAATTGTTAAATAATTTAGTTGTTGCTAACACATCATAGGTAAACTGCTTCTGTTTTGTGAAGCTTAACTTACTCAGGGAGAACAGTTGTTAGCTAACCATGCAATAGGACAATTGAAAGTTTTTGTTTGAACATTAGTGCGTAAATTATTATTTATGCAAGCAATCTCATTAAAGTCAATGGAATTACATCTGAGACTGAGGACCTGAGAAAAATAGTCTTTGTTCACAAGAATAAGAGTTCATTGAATACTTCCACTAAGTTCATTATCTCTTGGAGATCACATTCTTGAAGAGCATAGTTCATTAAAAAAAAAAAAAGATTTAATAGCTATCACTTGTAGTAAGCAAAATAGATTATGGTCCTCATAGCTACCAATAATCCTTGCAATGTTTTAGAAGAAATCTGACATCACAACTGCCCTCATCCACTTAAGAAATGTTGTACTGACTTCAAAGGAAGTTTGTTCCTAGTCCTTTTTCTCCAGCAGTGTTACGTGTGAGAGTGGTGATTTAAAGCTTCCAGGATCTTCAGTGAATACACACTTGTGTTCTAACCTTTTTTGTGACTGCTGAGTGCACTTAACTTCACAACTGTGTTCTTGAATGTTATAAAATTATGTATACAAGTAGAAGCCAGTGGTCAGAATATTGAGTAGTGTTTTGCTTAAAGCATGCTTTCTCTGCTGCTCATAGGAGTCTTTAGCTTTAAATATCAGCCCTAATTATTTCTTCATGCTTCTTCAATACTGTAGGTTTTGCTATTGGCATGCCTGTCTGTGAGTTTGACATGGTTAAGGATCCCGAAGTACAAGACTTCAGAAGAAACATTCTTAATGTTTGCAAAGAAGCAGTGGATCTTCGAGATGCGAATGCACCGCATAGTAGAGCATTGTACGTCTGTCCTCCAAATGTAGAGTCTTCATCTGAGCTCCCCAAACACATATACAATAAACTAGATAAAGGTAAGATCAATATCTACAGTAGAAACACTTTTTTTTCCCAGCTATTGAAATCAAAGTACAGCTGGTGACTCGGGTAAATCACTGTGTTAGGTACTGTATTTAGTACACTCTAGCAATGTCTTACACCTTGAGTTATTCAGAATAACTTTCTTGATAGAGTGTAGAGTCAAAAGGAAGGCAACAACACTTAAAATGACATTTTACTAATTTAGTAACTAAATCTTGAAATGCAACTTGGTAAAAAGAGGTGTGGGGTTTTATTTAATGTGCAGAAACAGTTCCTCTGCCTTTGATTTTTCTTTTTTCTAGCATCCAGGAATCAGAAATTAAATTATGCTCAATCACTGAATTACCTTACAGTCCTTAAATATGAAACACTCTACTGCTGTTTTCTGGAAGGCTAAATATTAGTATTTGGTTAATAAAAATATTCTTAACCTCAAGGCATAGAAGTCTTTTGAATTTACACTAGAGTCAAAATTAAACTGAACGCATGTAGTTCCTTTCAGAATTTAAAACCTTTCTCTTGGTTTGGGCTATGGGTGAGAGGTGAGTTTAGGTTTTTTTTAATTTGTTGCTTTGTTTTGAAACTGTGTATTGAAACTGATAGGCCTAACATTATTTTACATTCATTCTAGGGCAAATTATAGTGGTGATATGGGTAATAGTCTCACCGAACAATGATAAGCAGAAATACACCTTAAAAATCAATCATGACTGTGTGCCTGAGCAAGTTATTGCTGAAGCCATTAGGAAGAAAACACGAAGTATGTTGCTGTCAACTGAACAACTAAAGCTTTGTGTCTTGGAGTACCAGGGCAAATATATTTTAAAAGTTTGTGGCTGTGATGAATACTTGCTAGAAAAATATCCACTGAGCCAGTATAAGGTGAGTAACAGGATGGATTTATTTGACACTAAAATAATCCAAAGTTGTGAGGGTGAAGAGTGATCAGTTCTGTCACTGGCTTGCTTTTTAATTAATCCAAAACATAGAAAGGAAAAATGTATGCTTCTTTAAACTAACTGGCTAATGCATGGATGTAGTGTGCCTATTTGTTGCTGTATGTGCTTCAAGAAAGGAGAGGGAAGAAAAGGCAGTTCAAACTAGGATTTACATCACTGGTGTAATTTGTTGTCTTTGAATGAAGTAGATTACCTCTAACATTAGTGATAATCAGTAGCAGGTACTTTCAGAAATACCCTAGATTTCTGATGGCAAGAGATGAGTTATACTTGAATAGGGCTGATGTGATACAAAGGAAATTTGATCAGCTGTGAAATTATGAAGTAACAATTGCTACTACTGAATATATAAATACTGTGAATCCTTTCCCTCTTTAGGGGGTTGAAAGATCTTAAACTGTGTTCCTCTTACATCTTTAAACTTTTTGATCTTATTAAAGGAGTATAAAGTTCCAGAATTACATAAATCATTGTTAAATCTTCTTTGTGGCTGTCTGCCCTTCATTGCCTGGGTTTTGTTAGTGCTGTGAGTGTGAGACAGAACTGCTAACAGAGGGGCCATCTGAGCAGCTGCCTCTGGAGCAGACAACAATGTTACCCTGTAGATTTCCTGACAGACTGCTGCTGCTTCCTCTTTGAGGAATGCATTGTTGTAATAAACAGCTTCTATTCCTTAGTCTAAAATGGTTGATGATCTGCTCTCCAGAGCAGTGGGGGAGAGAGAGATGGTGGGGGATCCTGAATAATGGGAAAAGCAGCTCTGTTCTACAGGAGCTGAGGAGCAAGTGCAGACATACATGAACGATTTGCACAGTCATCCTGAGATCAAACGCTGGACCTATTTGATCCAATGTGGTTTCTTCAGAAGTATCTGCTGTGCCTTTGCTGTGCCACAAAAGAGCTTGCTAATTACATTCCAGGGCTGGACCTGTCCTAACACATTGTATTTTGAGGTACAGTTGCCAGCCTAAATGCTTTTGGCACTCAGCCCTGAATGGACACCATGCAACCCTACAGCTAGTGTCTGGCAGGATCAGCGTTGAGTTGAAGGTAGTAGACACAACTGAACCAAAAATTAGTGCCTCTGCCATTTGTTGTGTGCTCTCTGTCTGCTGCTAGGAGTACGAGAGTCACCAGAGCTAGGACTGTGCAGCAACCTGGTCCAGCAGCTCTGCAGACACAGCCGAGCTGCTTCCAGAACAGCTCTGATCTGGCAGCAGTCACTTGGTTCGTGCTGTGCCAGAACAGAGGAGCACCACCAGAAACCTGACTGGTCATCTTGACAGCTCTGTTCTGTCTCCAGTTCAACCTTCCACTGACGTAAACATTGTTCAGGATCTGTATGAAGCCCCACTGAGCAATCCTACCTAACAATATATTTAAACTGTTGGATGTCATAACTGCAGATGCTGTACAGGATGTGCATACAGGGACAATGATAAGCTTTGAAATATACTTTTATATTTTCCTGAATATTTTTAGAGTACCAAGAGTGTACACTTTGAAAACATACTGAATGTAGATTTTGTTTCCCTGCAGTATATAAGAAGCTGTATAATGCTTGGTCGCATGCCCAATCTGATGCTGATGGCTAAGGAGAGCCTGTACACCCAGCTGCCCCTGGACACCTTTACAATGCCATCCTATTCCAGGCGTATTTCTACAGCTACACCCTACATGAATGGAGAAGCTACAGCCAAATCCCTCTGGACTATAAATAGTGCTCTCAGAATAAGAATCCTCTGTGCAACCTATGTAAATGTGAACATTAGAGACATTGACAAGGTAAGGCAAATGCTGTATGGCATCATATATGATTTTGAGCCAACTCATAATTTCCCTTTTGAGTTTTTTTTGTTCTGTTTGCATTGGAAAAGAGGTGTTATTTAACGTGGTAAAAAATTCGACCAGTTTTTAATATTTAATGGGGAGAAGAACAAGACCCATGTTATTCATATTCTATATTATTATAATGTCTTAGAATGTGTTAAAGTAATTGGAAATATTTTTGAGGGGATGCTGGATAGTGTGCTGCTATTTTTGGTTTTAAAATGGAGATATGAGAAGATCAAGGAGAAAAGGCAAGTAGGCTTCAGTCATACTAGAAGCTGGGCTATCAACTTCTGCAGAATACATTTGGCCTTTGCTATAGGTAGGCACAGGAAGAATTGAAAATAAATTCCAGGGGTTTTTTAGAGTTCCTTTCAAGTTTAGTACTGTATTTTTAAGAACTAGTTTGGCAATTAACGTGGAAAAAGACTAAGCCATTTTTTCTAGAAGGGCATGTTTATATACTGTGCTTCATCTCTTGCAGAGCATGAATTAATTTGGGTTGAGGCTGGTGGGACTGTTTACTTTTCAGTTTTGTTTTTATTTTTTGCTTAGTGGAAATTAAGGGATAATGTTTTGTAATTATAGTGTGTGTTCATAGCAGTTTAAAAGTTTGTTTATAGTGACATTTCAAAGATAGTACTAATATTAACATTGTTTTCAGATCTATGTTAGAACAGGTATCTATCATGGAGGAGAACCTTTGTGTGACAATGTGAATACTCAAAGGGTACCTTGTTCTAATCCCAGGTAAGCTAAGTACTTCAATAGCTACAGAGAATCTGACTTCCAGGGCATTATAAACAGTAGTACTGACAGACACAGAAAATTAATGCTGTCTTTGGAAAATGCTGTGTTTTCCCACTGAGAAAATTCAGCATGGCAATCCACTTAGGAAAGCAAACAAATCAGAAGTGCCATGTGAAAATCATAGCTCTACCACTTGAAAGCTAAAGCCTAGAGAACTTAATTTTAAAAAAGCATATGCCTGTAGAACCAACCTGTGCTCTTACAACTATGCTAAATTGCATAATATCTGAGTTAGGAATATTGTTTTGGATTTCAGTGTTACATTTTTGTATTATATTTGTATCTTGGAATTATCTTTTGAACAGTTCAAACTTAGATGAGTTCTACAACTATGCCACAGTTTTTTCCCCACTGGCTTTTTTTTTTTCCCAGAAACGAAAAATATTTCACAAGCTAAACCTCACAGTTGTGTAACACATGCAAAACCATTATCTTGAGGTTATACCTGAGCTGACAGCTGCAGGCAGGAGAGAAAGTGACCAAACCTATTACCAAATTTACAGGAATTGAACCTATCATGACTTTTTAAAACAGTATTGGTGCTAAAATGCCAAGTGGGGAACCTGCCATTCCCAAAAGCAGAAGTTGTCAAACCTGTGTAGGAAGACCCTTCTAAAGTAAGAGAGTGTACTCTTCATACACATACACAGTTGAGGTAGGAATGTGTAACAAATCCCTTTTAGTCTAACTGTTAATTAAATGCAGTAGTATTCCATGTTGTCCTTTAACCTGGTTATGTTCTGCTTGTTAACTGTTACAGGTGGAATGAATGGCTGTCGTATGACATGTACATTCCTGACCTTCCCCGCGCTGCTCGGCTCTGCCTTTCCATCTGCTCGGTTAAAGGCCGGAAGGGTGCGAAAGAGGTAAAATGGCTTTCAGACACTAATGAACAGAAGCTACTTAAGTTTAGGAAGATATTCAGTAAATGCTGTCCTGGCAATGAGACTTAGTGTGATGCTTCAGTTGAATCTTACTAAAATAGGAGTTTTCTTTTGTATCTTATTCAGACAACCACTTTTTGTGGTCAATAACTAAACAGCATGGAAAAAAGCTTATTCATTCAACAGTGTAAATCATATTTGTCCTGTGATGCCAGACACAGATCAGTGTTAGTGTTTTGAGGTGCCAGTGCCTTTAAACTCAAATTTCTAAGCCCATGTTACTTACCTATTTATTAAAAAAGGGAAGTGTCTCTATTTGCTTAGAGTTGATTTTTAAAGGAAACTTATGTTGCTTTAGCATTTAATGTGAGATCCTAAACTGTGATTTTTAAGAATCTACAGTATATAATTCTAGCCACCTGCATCATGATGTTCTGGGTTTCAAGAGTGTCACAACTATTATATAGATTTTTATTTTTTTGTCTACAGACAAGTTCGCAAATTGTATAGAATCATTGAATGTTTTGGGTTGGAAGGGATCTTTGAAGATCATAGAGTCCAACCCACGTGCATGGGCAGGGACTGTTTCAGTAGACCAGGTTACTCAGAAGCCACACCCAACCCAACTTTGAATACTTCCAATTGATGGGACATCCATAACTTCTCTTGGCAGCTTGTTCCAGTGTCTGACCGCCCTTATAATAAAAAAAATATGTCCAATATACACCTGTTGTATTTCAGGTTAAAACTGTTGCCCCTTTTTCTGTCACTACAGGCCTTGGGCAAAAAAACCCTGTCTCCATCATCTTGAGTTGATTTGATGTGGGGAGAGCGTTATCCTATGTTTGCAAGTGTTTTGATACAGTTCTGCAGAATGACTGCCATTATAGGCATCCATAGAAAAATAGAGTACAGCTTTCTGCTGATCTGGGAATGTAACAACTTGCTCTGGGGTGAAAAACTTTTTACTGACTTGCTCTGCAGAAATTAATAGATAACGTGGAAAAAAATAATCCTTTAATCTCTTTAAGGAACACTGCCCATTAGCTTGGGGAAATATAAACATGTTTGACTACACAGACACTCTTGTCTCTGGGAAAATGGCTTTGAATCTTTGGGCAGTACCTCATGGACTGGAGGATTTGTTGAATCCTATTGGTGTTACTGGATCAAATCCAAATAAGGCAAGTATTTGCATGCCAGTTTCCTCTTCAGGAGTACGTTTTGAAAAATTCTAATTAGTATTAGTCAACAGAAAAAGTAATTTAAATTCCCTTTACATAGGAAACTCCATGTTTAGAGCTGGAATTTGATTGGTTTAGCAATCCCGTGAAGTTTCCAGATATGACGGTGATCGAAGAACACGCCAATTGGACAATATCTCGTGAGCTGGGGTTTAACTACAGCTATGCGGGGCTGGTAAGGCAAACTCTCCTTCTCAGATTAGCTACTGAAATACAACAGTATTGCTTATTTTCCTTGATTTGTTAGTGATAAAGAGCCTTTTTTCATGTATCCTGATTTATTGTAAAAGTGAGTAATCAAATTTTTGTTTTGTGTTTAACAGAGTAATATATTTTCATTTCTTTGTGTCACCAGTAAACTGACCTAGTGCTTCACTGACCAGCCAAAACTCTTCAAAGAGAAACTTTCTGACTGTGCAAACTCTTAGGGCCTTTTTGACATTTTTAAATCACTAATTCAGATGTCTAAACTATTTAGTGGAACTTCTCAAAAGTTGTAATCCTCCTTCAATGGTGCTGTTTTATTTTGTTGCAGTTTCATAGGTAGGCTTTCTTTTATAACCTCAGGGTGCTTATAAGTCTTCACTGGCTGTTGACTGGGCTAGTTATGACTGTAAGAACAAAGAATTCTGAGGGAATTAATTGGCATATATGTGAGCTTAGTCTTTTATCTCATCTCTTCAATGAAGAAGACCTGTGCATTGAATGTTGTCTTTTTGGTGAGGTTTGGAGCTTCCTTAAAAGCAGATTTATTTTTTTTTTTATGATTAAAAGGAGGAAAAAAAGGGAAGCAGTAAGCTAAAAACTGGGCTGTGAAATTACTTTGTATGTTTTTACGTTTTCTTTGAGAGGCTGGTTCAAAGATTTCAGAGTTTCCCCAAGAGAACTTTGTGGTCTGTGAAGAAAAGTCTCTGGGTGGAAAGTTTTGCTGTGCCAAAAAAGTGCGTAGGTGTCAGCTTCCAGTTTGGGAATTCTTATGATATTTATAACAGTCCCATCTCAACGTTCTTTCAACAAAGGGTTGTAGGCCATTTGATTTCTCTTGATACTCTACAGGAAGTCCCTGACAGAGTGGTGTATATCCTTATGATGTATATTGTGACTGAGCAGTGCTTTAAGTGTTTAAGGACAGCTGGCTTTACAGTAAATAACATTCCTTTGCTATGAACCAGCCAATTACCTGGGCTTATATGTGCTCAACTCATGGTTTTGTTCCATCTATAGGCAAAAACAGAAAATGGTGCGGAGAATAAGCTCTCACTTCAGTGACAAAATAATGATCAACTTAGAGTTTACAATTAAAAAACCCCAACATTCTGAGGTAGACTAAAGTCTCATTATTGCCTTTTCTTTTTTGTGATAATTCTTACACCACTGTAGAAGGAAGTCATAGTAGTGAATATGGAGAAAGCCTAAATGCATCGATGACTAAGTTGACAAGGAATATGTCAACTGCTTTTTGTTCTTTCTCATTATTCATGCTGCTTTTCAGCCCACCTTGTTGTCTGCCAAAGTCCTCTTATTATCATTTTTCAAATAACTTCATTAAATGCTTTATAAATTGGAGCATAACTAGTTATCTCAGTATTGTATTGTCCCCTTTATCTTGTAGTGTGTGGTGTGTTCAGGTCTGAAGCCAAACTTTCTGTATTTAGGTACTGTCTATACTTATAGTTGTCTGTAATATCAACTGTGTTCAGGGAGTTAAAAGGCAATGTGTTACTAATTCAAAAATCAGATACTAGATTACTGTGTAGCTCTGGCCATATCTGAAAGAGCTTAAAAAATGCCTGTCTGAAATGGTCAAAATCAGCAAAGCAGTCACTAAGGTATGATTTTTATATCAATGTTTTTATGATACAAAGAACATAACTTTTTTGTTTAACTTTGAAATGCACTACCCTGCATTTAAAAATCTATTAATACCTACTTATAAGAGATCATTCATAGGTCCATAAATACCTCAAATATGAAAGAATTTTTCAATCTTAAATCTAACTTACTGTCCCACAATTCATAGAATTTCAAGTTTTTGATGTTGACCGCAACAGGATAAATGCATTTTCCTTCTGGGCTTGACCTAAACTATGATCTTTGTGACTCACTGTGCAGGTACATTTTCTACTTTTTTGACTTTCACTTGCTATTCAGGATGACTCTTTCAGAATCAAGATGAATATGTACAATTGATCACTTGTTCAATACAACTATTTGATCTTACGTCATAAGAGTAGGGTGGTTATGAAATCATTTATCTGTTAACTTCCTTAGAAAATTACTCTGTTACTTGCACTGCATCTGTTTTCATAATATTTGAGAAGGTGTTCTCAACATTTTCCTGTGCTGTGTAGACTCTTGACTAATTTCCTCCCACATCCAAGTCCAGTCCATGTGCTTCAGAACAGTAATAAAAAATAGTGTTGGTGCTGTAAGATCTCCCACTAGCACACTACTAAAAGGGCAAGGTACTAAAGATCCTGTGAGTTGATTATTTTATATCTTAATATTGGTAGATGAAAGCTTCAAGGCCAGAATATTCTTGTCCCATGTAATAGTAGTGAATCCATCATGAGAACATACGAATTAGGTAATTAAAGATAAATGTAATGTAGAGAACTTTCAGTCTAAAGTAGGTATGATGTGGTACAATCTGGCAACTCTGTCTATAAATGTGCATATTCTTAGAAATAACACCACTCCACCTTTTAAAAGGTGCCTTGATCTCCTACCTGGAAATTTCACATGGTTCTTTTCTTCAGCCTTTGTTTAAGCTAGATGTGTTGGAAAGCTGTTCCGTAAATGACATGTGGGTATTTCTGTTTCTAAAGAACTTGTTCAACCTGTGGAAAATCTCCATCAACAAAACGGGCAGACCAAGCTTAGTTTCTTCTGATTATCTTGTTTAATGTGCTCAGACAGAAATGCCTGGGGAAAGAGCAGGGTGAGGGTTCAAATACTGTGGTTCTACATTTTGCGGTTTAAACATTTTGAACTTGGAAAAGTTACCTTATTCTTCTGTAGTAGTAAGTGTTAAACAGGTATGAAAGTACAAGTTCATTATAAAGCCACTCTTCAAATCCTCTAGAATTCTTAGTATTTCAAAAATTCTTGGGTGTCAAACTTGTTTATTACAGTTGTATTTTAAAGTAAAGGCAATAATAGATGCTGCTTATGTTTTCTGCAGTGCAGTAGGTTCTGTAGTTGGAACTTCAGGAACTGCGTAATTTCATTTGTTGCTTTACGAAAAACATTAAAGGAACTAAGAAGTGGAAAGTACAGGAGAAATTGAGCTTGGAACATGAGCTGTGAAAAAACAAGTAGCAGTATTTTCAACACCTCTGCCGTTGGTCTAAGCTGGTTCTAATAAATTAAGTCTTATGAAAAATTTCAGCATTTACCATCTGTGTTTTCTGTACTTTTTGGGGACTATCTTTTACTAATTCTAGTTAGTGTTTTCTAGTCTTCCTGTTGTTCAGTCTTTCCTACAGTGTTCCACCTTTTATTTACGTAACTTCATTCCCCATATTCTGCTTTTTCAGTTCTGATTTTTTTCCACTCCTTTCAGCAGCTCTCAGCAATCTTAAAACGGGAGACAGAAATGACCTGTTTGATTTTGTGCTACATTACGTTGTTCATCAGATGTCAACTCCTGCTATTTCCCCACACAGCTGATTTAGTTGAAATGTACTTTTTCTTGTCCCAGTAGTGACTAAAAGCAGTTGTAGAAATAAAAGGCCTAGTCTTTAATCTTCTCTATTTTTAAGTCCTCAGTTATAACAAAGGAAATACGATAGTATTGCATGTCATAGGCTATAAGAGTTTCTATGCTGTTGAAATACTTGATGTATCTTGTATGAAAACAGAAGGAAACGTGGGGTGTTAATGGATCACTTTCTCTCTGCAGAGTAACAGAATAGCTAGAGATAATGAATTAAGAGAAAGTGACAAGGAGCAACTGCGAGCCATATGTACACGAGATCCTTTGTCTGAAATCACTGAGCAAGAGAAAGACTTCCTCTGGAGCCACAGGTATTCAAAACCAAAAACTAAACCAATGAAAAACCTGTGTTGGCCCCATCACATTTCACCCCATTCACTTAAAATTTGTCTGATTGTCTTGTGTTTTGCTCCTTTTATTCTGTTTTGTTACTGTACGTCTTGGCTCATAAGCCCATGAGGAAATGTAGGTTGCTCAATTAGCTTAGTTTTCCCTGTTACTGCAATCTTATCTCATGGACGGATCCTGACACCACCTTATTGTATTGATCAGATTCTGCTTGGCAAAGGAAAAAAAAAGGTGCAAGACTGAGTAGATGACTATGGAAGCAAAAATGACATTTTGTACATACAGCTGTTCTCTCTTTTGCAGACACTACTGTGTGAATACTCCAGAAATTCTGCCCAAATTACTTCTGTCTGTTAAATGGAATTCTAGAGATGAAGTGGCCCAGGTAACATACAGCACTGAAGAAGGTTTAAGTTTTGAAGAAGCTTTTTAAAACATGCTACTGTAAAGAAAACTGCTGCAAGTTAAAAAGATGTTTTGTGTGCATGGCACGTTGAAAGTAAAGATTCAAGTTGCCATTATACTGACTGGTCAGTCTGGTCTGTAGTTCTTTAGCTCAGTTTGAGTCTTAGTATTTTGTCTCAAGGACATTACTTGAATCCTTGTTATGTTGCTCATTTGTCAATGACAGTTAAATGTGAAATTTTGTTTTCATTCTTTATGTAGTGGATAAAATAACAAAGCCAGCTGGCAACTAATACAAAATTGTTAATTAGAGAAGACTAGTAAGTGAACAGCCTTCTACTCAAAGCAGTTTGTCTGATGATACTTCCTAATGGCTGTGTGATATAACTACTTTCTAATCTGTGCAAACATGTAATGTGCTTGGACTTCTTGTCCACAGATGTACTGTTTGGTAAAAGATTGGCCTTCAATCAAGCCAGAGCAAGCAATGGAGCTTTTGGACTGTAATTATCCGGATCCAATGGTGCGAGCTTTTGCAGTCCGGTGTCTAGAGAAGTCCTTGACAGATGACAAACTGTCTCAGTACTTAATCCAGCTAGTACAGGTATATAACATTTTGATACACTTGATGTCTTGTGTATATTTAATGATCATAGAGGCTTAAAATATAACAAAAGTTAAGATTATGTGAAAAAGAGGTAATCAAAAGTATCTGTTTGCATTGCAGATTGTTTAGTAGGAGATGAAATGTAGTTCATTGTCTGCAGTGCTTGTGGTTTTGCTTGTTGATTTGAAATACCAAAAATTTGCAGAGATGCAGAATGTTCTACCAGCTGGAACAGGCAGCTATTTCAGCTCTCTTAACATATGGGGAAGTATGAGCAGAAGCATGTTCTCCAAATTTTGAGCAAGTTGAGACTAAAATATTTGGTAACTGTAAAGGAAGCATCAGATGGTGAGTTTGTGAAATAGAGGCAGCTAATGCACTGTTAGCAGATACTGCTCAAATCCCAGCATGTGCAAGTATTAATACCAGATCATCATTTTACAAAATCTCATGTAAAACAGATTGCTTTTTATTTGTCTTTAATCTCTTTGTTGTTTACAGAAATAATAACTGCAGCTGATACTTTTTGTTGTCTTTATCCTTAACTAGGTTCTCAAATACGAGCAGTATTTAGATAATCAGCTTGTGAGATTTTTACTCAAGAAGGCACTGACCAATCAAAGGATAGGACACTTCTTCTTTTGGCATTTAAAGTAAGCTTAGTATCATGGTAAGGGTTGGTGGGATTCCTACTAGTTGTAAACAATCAGTTGTTCTAGAGGCTTGGCATACCAAATGTTCTTTTTTAAGATAAATATTACCACTTAAAGTTTACATTGGTTAAAGAATTTGAATGGATAGTTTGGTAATAGGAGTCACCTCTTACAGTTTCAAAAGCTAGTCAATACTACTTGGTCTTGTACTTCTTTATCTAATGATGATTATTCTAAAAGCAGAGTAGTCTTAAGATTGCTGGAAGCCTCCCATATTTTTAGCTGTTTAGAACTTGGACAGATTTCTACTGTTTGAACTTCTTTTTTGTATGCCAGGTCCCTCAATTAGTCTTTCCCAGAAAGTTTTAGAAATGTTTGAGTCACCTGATTTGAGCAGATAAGGCTTTGAAAAATAACTGTTGATACTTACTCATTAAACATTTTTTAGAGCTTGATATCCAAAATATCAGTGTTCTTCCCTATGTATAACATGGGCTTTTGTAATTCCTGGTGTTTAGAAGGCTGAGCATAAATCAGCCTGCAGCATCCTGGATTGTAGCTACGTCTCACCTAGAAAGGCTGTTCTAAGACAGTGTGATCAGACACAGAAGCAAGGAATCTTTGTGCTTTCCATTTTCTACTACCCTTGGTAATCATCAAGGATAATGGAATATGTTGCCTGGTTAACTTGTTTGAGAAAATGTATTTTTAGGACTGTGTGAGAACTGAGTAGATAAAAATAAAGAAATGAGAGGGGGCACAGTCTGGGACTGGCTGTGAGACAGAGTAAATGAAACGGGTTAGCTTTGCTCTGGAATTTGAAAGGTCTTGTCTTTCAGCTGTAACTGTTCTTTCTGTCTGTGTAGGTCTGAAATGCACAATAAAACTGTAAGTCAGAGGTTTGGTTTGCTTCTGGAGTCCTACTGTCGAGCATGTGGAATGTACCTGAAGCATCTGAGCAGGCAGGTGGAGGCTATGGAGAAGTTAATTAACCTCACAGATATTCTCAAGCAGGAAAAAAAAGATGAGACCCAGAAGGTATTTTAAGCTGTCCATTATTCCTGTTGAGTCTCAGGAGTTACAGAACTGTGCTTTATTTCATTAACTAGAAAAGTATTAATGCTGACTTCAGTAGATAGTGTGTCATCCTAGAAGATTTAATATTTTGTGTTTTGCCACTGTCTGCCTCTTAAGGCAACAGAACTAAAATTAAAGGTTTCAGCTGATGTAATATGTGGCTAAGCAGAGTTGCATATGTTGGAACTGTACAAAACTATGCTTTAAATTCAAAACTAAAACCCAATACTTACCTTCATTTTTGTGTAACTGGTGTTCTGAAAACTTGAATGTGATTTTATTATCAGGTACAGATGAAGTTTCTTGTTGAACAAATGAAACGGCCAGATTTTATGGATGCTTTGCAAGGTTTTATCTCTCCTCTTAATCCTGCACATCAACTGGGAAATCTTCGGTACTGTTTTCCATTTTGAAATGTTTCTAGATACTTAAGTAAATGCTTAGTAATGTTGACACTAACACTGTTAAGGTTGAATGCAAACATACTAAATATAAGTACTGTCCAAGGTAACTGGATAAAACATGTAGCAGACTAATTCAGTTTTGAAGTAGTTTCAATCTAATGGTGTGGTGAATTAGGGAGCAACTTGACAGGTAGCTGGTCCTTTAAGGTGATGGGAGGTTTTCCATTTATAAGGAAATGTACACAGAGTAAGTATTAGTCTGCAGTCCTTTTTCCATTTCTAAGCAACACACTCTGCTGAAGGAAAATTTGCAGTATAGCCAACTGACCCATTGGGTTTAGCAAATGGTTAACATTGCACTTACCAATTTAACTTTGAAGCTAAAAATAAGTGGTTGAATGTTGGTTACCATGCATATTTAATTTGATACAAGCTCAATAAGCTCGAGAAAACAGGGACAACTTAGTAGTACTACAGAAATGTGGTATGAGAATCAATTTGTGCCTATTTCATAGAATTTTTCTCTTTTATTATAGGCTTGAGGAATGCAGGATAATGTCCTCTGCAAAAAGGCCCTTGTGGTTGAACTGGGAAAACCCAGATATTATGTCTGAATTGTTATTTCAAAACAATGAGATAATCTTTAAAAATGGAGATGGTAAGGAAAAATAACTGTAATCTCTTTATTTTTCTAATCTACTGCTTAGTATTTTTCCTAAGCATGTAACATACACATTGAAATTAAAAAAAAAAACAAAAAACAACTTAAACCAATAAACTCATCTGGACAAAGCAGTTTTCCAGAAGAATTAAGTATCCACAAATAAGTATTTGTCCCAGTCATACAGATTTTTTATGTTCTAAGACGCTCAATCTGTTGAGTTGGAATGTATTATTTAATACTTCAATTTTTTTCTTGAACATGTCTGGATATTACAGATGTGTAATTTGTAATTCCCTTGTCATGTTTTGAGTGTATACTTCTAAACAGCTTTGAAATCACCACTACAAATTTTATGTATTCATTCTCCACTATTTTAAAATCTATGTTTCTCAAAACAAAAACCTACACTAAACTGTGCAAGCCTCATTTCCTTTAGACATACTTTTTGGGGGAAAAGTAAAATAAGATGTAACAGTGTTTCAAAATCTGCAATCTCTGTGTCTTTGACTATTCCAGACTTGCGTCAGGACATGTTGACACTTCAGATTATTAGAATTATGGAAAACATCTGGCAAAATCAGGGTCTTGATCTTCGGTAAGCGTGGGAGGTCATTCTCAAGCAATACTGTTCTTAAAGGATTTTGCATTGCTTTGTTACCAGAGGTTATTTCTGTTGTCTGCAGGGTAATAAAGGAAATGCTATATCTAACATGTTACTGTACTAATATCTGGTGTGTTTTTCCATAAGATTAATGATAATACACCTATAGAACAAAAACAGATTTTCATATCTTTAAGTAACAGATTACACTTATCTGTTAACCCTTATCAAACATGCCTGTTGCTTGCTGTCTTAAAACTTAACTCTGTAAAAAACAAAATTGCTTTGTCTTTCAGGATGTTGCCTTATGGTTGTTTGTCCATTGGTGACTGTGTGGGGCTCATTGAGGTGGTGAGGAGCTCTCATACAATCATGCAGATCCAGTGTAAAGGAGGCTTAAAAGGAGCATTGCAGTTCAACAGCCATACCTTGCATCAGTGGCTCAAGGACAAGAACAAAGGAGAAATGTGAGACTTCCTGTTGCTTGTTTTTCTTGTCATGTGCTCTTTCTGGTGGAGACTTCCAAGAGAACTGAAGTCCATCAAGTAGGAAATTATGTCCATCTGGTTTAGGTGGTGGTTTTGTTGTTGGTTGTTTGTTTTTTTTCCCCTGCCCTCTGTCTATTTTTCCTGTTGGTAGCTCTTTTAGGGAGTTTAGATGGTTGTGTGACTTCTCAGCAGTAAAGCGTAACTTGGAGGTAGAACTATGAAGATAAAGCCTGTAAGTACAGATAAATCTGTATTTTAACAGTAGCTCATCAAAATGAACACTGCTGGTCTTCACAAGAGGGATAGTCACTTTAACAGCTAGTTTACTGTTCCAAAATCTAATTGCAAGTACTTTGTTTTCAGAGTATCCTGAATTTCTCCCTTACTTTACTAAAGGATTTCTGCTGCATTGAGAAAAGATAGAAATTGACTCTTCCTTTCTGGGGAGGGGAAAAAAATTAATCTCTTTATTATTAGAATATGTGTAGGAAAATGTCTCCTTTGTTTGTCTTCACTAGGTATGATGCAGCTATTGACTTGTTTACACGTTCTTGTGCTGGCTACTGTGTTGCTACATTTATACTGGGCATTGGTGATCGCCACAATAGTAACATCATGGTCAAAGATGATGGACAAGTAAGATGTTTTTCTAAAAACTTAGCCTAATGTCATGTCTCACTTTGCTACGAGTTTGTTTTCTAAAAAAAATCCATCTGAACTATCAGTAAATGATCAGTTTTAGCATGACATTATTTGAACAAGGAATTACTCATCTTTAAATACTTTTCTGTCTTTCCAAGCTGTTTCACATTGACTTTGGACACTTCCTTGACCACAAGAAGAAAAAATTTGGTTATAAAAGAGAGCGTGTGCCATTTGTCTTAACACAAGACTTTTTAATAGTGATAAGTAAAGGAGCCCAAGAATGTACCAAAACAAGAGAGTTTGAAAGGTGAGCCTTTTTTGAAGCTTTCATCTTCCAGGGTATTTTGTACCTAAAATGCACTTAACTACTGGTGACCTTTAAATAATTAGGTTTTTAAACTGAAAAATAGTATATTTAATGGGATAGCAGTGAGCATGTGCCAATTCTTGAACTGAAGATCAGCCATCCACTTGTAATACGGTGGGTGATCTTTGTGCTTACGTGGCTTTTGGTTTATGAAACCTGTTTAGGGGTCAGCGTACACTGACCCCAATGACTAAAGATTTTCTTAAAAAAAATCTGGTTATTTTTTTTATTTAACACTTGCAATCCTCTCGGGATTGCATAGCTGCAAAAATGGGTAGTTTTTAAATGTCAGATGTGGTGAACATCTGAGCCTTGTTGGTTACTCAGCAGTACTTTCTCATCTAGCTGCTGTGCTACCAGCTCTTCTGCTGGCTTGTGTTTGTGACACTCTGCAGGACCTGATAAGAAAGGAGAAATTGAAAATAATAAATGTTGCTGTAGCCATTCCTATTTATCTGTATTTCTAGAGGTCAAATCTTTGAGAGGTTTCAATTTTAATCTTAATTTCATCATGTAGTGAAGGGAGGATGGATTTTAAGTTACAGTGCCTCTCTGAATGCTGCAGTAAGGACTTTTGCATGTTTATTTTTTTAACCTGACTTAAATTAGTGATTTCAGCATAAACCAGTATTTCTTACCCAATGGTGGGGTGTAGCCCATGCTCCTGTCTCCAGTGCATTCTCCAGAGTATTTAAAGAGCAATAGCTGCTGCCCTCATAGAACTACAGGAGAGAAGTGGATGCTGTGAGGACAACTGGGGAAGTGAAGTTTGCAGCAGTTTATCCTGAAATGTGCTTTGCAGCCTGCATCCCCGTAGCAAGGACTGAAACGGCTTGGTCAACTCCCATAGACATGTGGAACACTTGCATGAATTGCAGATGAAGTTTAAGGCCAGAAAGCTTGTCTTCAGTTTGGCTGTTGTGTTAGTCTGACCACTACTAATTCTGACAAATGAAGCTAACCTAAGTAGGAAGAGGAGGATGTTTTCTCAGCAACATTATGGTGTTCTTAGTAGGTTAAGACAGTCTCCGTTTTTTTTGTGTCTAGTTACTGAAGCATCTAATGGTGAAATACACTGAGTTTGTTGGGTTTTGTCTCTTCCAGGTTTCAGGAGATGTGTTACAAGGCCTATCTAGCAATTCGACAGCATGCCAATCTCTTCATAAATCTTTTCTCCAGGCTGCTGGGCTCAACAGAGCTGCAGTCCTTCGACGATATCGCGTACATTCGAAAGACCCTTGCATTGGACAAAAGTGAGCAGGAAGCTCTTGAGTACTTCATGAAGCAAATGAACGATGCTCACCATGGTGGCTGGACAACAAAAATGGACTGGATCTTCCACACAATAAAGCAACATGCTTTGAACTGAAATGAAAGCAAAGAAAACAAGAACTGATGGCCCGCTTTGTGGGAACTGCACTGTTAATACCCCTTAGCAGCAAAGACTGGTTGCATAGGAATTGCACAAACCACGAACAACATTAGCATTTATGGCAAGGAAAGAGATGAACTGTTCAGACAACTGTCAAAAAATAATGTAAAACAGGGTTTCAGATCGCACTAAAATTGTACACTTCAAAAAAGTAAGCTTTAGTATGATGTGTGACTTCATGTTATGCCTTAAGCCCGAAAAGGTAAACTTGGAAGAATGTTTCCTTTTTCTGTTTGATAGGATACAATAGAAGGAGAAAGAAAATAGTGCTAGCATGAACATAGAGTCCATCACATATTACCTTAGGTCTGGTACAGCAGTAGGGACTATGCTGGATTGAGAAGAGTGGGAAGAAAATTCAAGGGGTAGCAAACATTTAAATGCAGCATAGTTTGAAGGGAGAGAGGTTTTATTAAGCTTAAAGATCTAAAAACAATAGTGAGAGGACAGTGCCTTTTTAAATGTGCTCAGAGGCATGAACATTTACTGGGTTTAGATGACCCTTTGATTTCTGGGTCTGTCATCTGCACTGTTTTTGAAAGCAGTAGGAAATAGGCCCATTCAGTATGGTGTTTCTTCTGCTCAGTATTTCTAGGGGTGCAATTCATACCTTCACAAAGAAACTCCCTATCATCCGCCAAAACTGACTAACCTGGAAATTGAATGGTCAGAATTGGGTTTAGTGCAACAGAGTGTTGTAGTGTTCATATTAGGTTTGCTTTAATCTAACTTGAACTGAATAGATTTTTTTCATACATTTTCCAGAACCTAAAGAAAGGTGAGTTATTAAAATTATTGAAAGATTATTTTTTTATAAAGGCTATTTATATAATAGGAACTATTATTAATATATATTCTTTATTTACATGATTTGTCCAATATTCACTCTTTTAATTTTGCAGCCCAGTTCTATCTGTCCAAGACTCCCGTTTCCATTAATGTCACTGCAGGTGACCAGATATACTCCTAGGACCAAATTCAACCCTGGTGAAAGAGGACACAAGTACCATTGAAGTAGTGGGAGATAGACCCACTAATGCCAGAGGTGAACTTGGCCTAAGTTTCTTCAAAATTTTTTGGGCATCGCTCTTCACGTTTCTGAAGTGATATGTTGGCTATTCAAGGAACCTTCATTTAAACCCTCAATCTTTGGGTCCACCATTTCTCCTCTTTCTTCTTCCTTTGGAAGTGGTTGTTTAATCCAGTAACAGAAGAATCAGAAATAGCAATTCAGATTTTCAATATGATCAATAATAAGCAGTTCAACATACAGCAGATATGCTGGCTAGCTCAAAGCATGCAGAGTTACCAAACATTTTATAGCTTTGTCTGTTTTCTGTGTGCGTGTGTGTAATATGTATTTGTAAATCTAGTTGTTGTCCTCTAACACAATTCCAACGTGTGCAATGTATTAAATTTACACCACTTCTTGAAACTGTTCAAAGTACCGAGGATTTCAGATTGCCCTTATGCACAACTTCAGGTAGGACTGTTTTTCTAATTATTAAACAGGTTTTTGAATTAGTGAAGCCCATGATTCTGAGGGTCATGTTCACCCTGACATTTTTAAACTTACTAGATTGGCAGCACTTGGAGTGAATTCCAAAGGTCTGGGGCTTTTGGGGGTTCAGCTCGTTCACTTGCAAACATGTGCCAAGGTGCCACTCAAAAAGTGCAATACCACATGTAATATAAAATATGTTGACAGCTGGTTTTAGATTAGAATATAAGTATATAAATAAGATGTACTGATGAGGCAATGAGTGGTTGGCTTCATTGAGCAAATTGTAATATACTAAAAATGTGCAATCAGTTACATTATGAAAGACTTCGGGGATTGTAAAGCCAAGACTTGGTTTTTCAAGATGCTTTCGTAGTCAAGATCCTGCAGTTGATCACTGCATATGTGGATACTTGATGTTGTGGGAGGAAACCTGTTTTGTGAAAACTACAGAAGTTCCAGTAATAGTATGGGGGGAATGTGAAGTGTTATTTCCTTCTACTAAATATTTTTGAATAGTCCAATAGACTTCTCTTTACTCTCTTTTTTTTGACTGTTACATATTCCTTTCTGTTCATATGAATATTTTGCTAACTTTGGTCATACTTTCTAGAGCAAAATTACCCTTGTATATATTACTTTGCAGTCAACACACTCTAATGGTTTAGCTCTCTTATACATGGCTTAGTTTCAGTTTAAATTTGGTTCACAAGTCTGAAACCCTGTTGCCTGTAACTCTTAATTTAACTGAGTAAAACCTGTACAAATGCCACATTAGGTGCTATATTATCCTTATTTATCTGGTATTGAAACAATGCTTTACCTCATTTATCTAAGAGATGATCAGCCTTTTCTAGCCTGGATGAAAAGATCAACTCAAATTTATTGGATGTTATGAGCCCAACTTATTTTGTACTTTGGCCTTTCGTAGGCATTTATTTCTGTAAATAGAAATGTCTTTGAGATCAAGCATTCAATGTTCTTCACCCTTTTTTGCACAGAGAACCCAGGCTCTGTTTCCGAAAGTCATGCAACTAAATGCTGTGCACAGGCTGTAGGAATTATGAACATCAAATAGTAAAAGAAAGAAAACTTCATAGTGATACAGACACAATGTGATTTGGGGTAATTGTAGCCTTTAAATAGTAAAACAAAACACCAACTTGGAAGAAGCTGATGAGCATTAGCGGTTGTTCTTACCATAACCAGGATGCACATTTGGAAAACATTCTGCCAGTGTTTCAGGAGGAAAAAAAAAGAAATCCTTTTTTAAGCTTCAAAGTGTTCAGCCCTAATTACCTTATTGTATTATGCCAGTTTTGTGCTGATGTAACTTGACTGAAGATAATGGAGGTTTTATTCACTTACATTGGTGTAAATGAGAGGATGTCACCTATTCTCAGTGTTAGAAGATCTGCTTACAGACTGAAAGCACCTGTAACTGAGCTTTAGATTTTTACAGAGATTGCTTGGAATTTGGATTTTCATTTTTTAACTATTTCCACTTCATGCAGATTTGAAAATGTTCTTTATTCTGAGAATCAGCTACATAAAACACTAAGTAGCTTATTTTGAGCTTGAACTGTATCTGAACACCTTGCTCCTGCAGAACTTTGTAGTAGGACAGCCAAAGCAAGAATCCCAGGATTGGGCCACATGTTTTACTACAGAGCATTAGGAAATGGTGATTTAGTGAAATGCAAATTTAAAAACCAGTCACTTTTTCAACTGTGAAGGTATGTTTGATTTAATGACAGAACAGGCTGCTGCTGATTTAGATTGTCTTAAAAATATATTCTTTGCTTTCCTAAACATAGCATAAAAAGCACCTGTACTGACCTGTAAATGCACACTTTTCTGTCCTGAAAGTGTGCATTGGTCATTTTTCATAGATTAAATGGACTTTAAGTATTACTTCTAAAATAATAGAAAGAAAGCATTTAAATGAAACCAAAATTGTTAATAGTTTGGCATCTTGTGGAGGAGATACAAGCCTGCCTAGTAAGGGCAATATAGAAATCACCAAGCTTGTAGAGAACTTGATATGTGATGATTGGTGGTGTAGAGAGTTGGTTATGGTTTTGTCCAACTTCACTTTTTATGTAAAATACTAAATGCCCTTTAGTTGTCAGTAGCCCGTGTTTTTGACAATTTGAAGGTATTTTCTTTGCTTTGTCATTTTATAACTGGCATGTTCTAATGTCTGTTCTTAGTAATAAGTGTGAATTCCTCCTGTTTTGCATGTCTGTACAGGTTGCAGACCTGGGCTGGACCCATTTGAAAAACAATTATCAAAAAAAGCCACTTGAAATTACTATTTTGTTGATGATTTTGACATCTTTAAAGTGCTTCAAGTTAATGAAAATGGTGTGGTATTACAGAAAGAATTGTAACTTGCTGCTTCTAAGATTTATTTTTTTTTTAAGCTTCCATTGTTCTTACTCTTGTTTTAGTTTTACTTGAATGGAAGAAAAGAATCACACTTGTTTGGTTTTGCTGGGGTTTTTTTTAAATACTATATAGCTGTGGATGTTGTTGCAGATTGTTGAATCCCAACTTCATTTTGCAATACATGTTCCATACAAATGAATTTGTATCTTTTTATCTTTTTTCTTTGTGCTGAAAGTTGTCTCAGTTTAGGTAAGGCTCTATCTGTCCAAAATGATGTGTAGGTCACCATCCCTGCAGTTGGTGTGGGTTTTCTGGGTGTGTGTGAGTTTTACATCTGTGTAAATGAAGGGAAGCCAACTGGAAACTGGATATAGAAGTTCTCTATCTGTATATGTTAACCAAACCTCTAGGTGCCCTGAGCTTTGGGAAATTGATTCCTCTTTATGCTGATGTAACACTGACTTCATCAGAATCACTCTGGGTTCACAACAGCAGGTGAAATCAAACTTAGATTACATGTATGTTAAAGTCACAGGTTACTTATTCATATAGCTTGGTATGAAAGGTGCTGTCTAAATGGAGGCATGTTTACTAGCAGCCCAATTAAACACTTCACAATTTTACTTTTAAACAGTCTTTATTAACTGGCCTTTTCAGCTCTCCAATTCATAACTACTGTAATTTTGCCTATAGTTACTTTCATTCTTGAGACTTCCAAGATTTTTATTGCATGGCAGCTTAAATGTTTCTTCTCCCTGCTCTTTTATAGTATAATGACATGTTGAACCTGCACTCAGGAAAAGCAGTTGTTCTTCATCTGTTCTTGACTTCAGAACTGTATGTATTAGACTTTCAAATGTATGAGGTCTTACTCTGTTATCATTCCTGACCCAAAGCCAGAGGTGGATCCCTCTGTCCCTATGTTTTTCACTTTCTTCTCCAACACCCCTCTTCCCCAAAAAGGGACATGTCCATGGCATAAGAGCAGCAGCATAAAATATTTGTAAGAGAAAATCAGTTGAAGCAAGGCTCTGCCTGTACTTTGAAGCTAGCATTCCCATTGGTTTATATCAATGTGTCTTCAGTTTAAGTGTCCTTACTGTCAGATGCAATATTCCTGAGGCATAAAGAAGGCAAAAAATACAGTATGTTATCTTGACTCTTCTGATGCCAGTTCCCAGCTATAAACTGGTTTAGGAACCATTTAGTTCAGTCTAACTGCATCAGTTCTGCTAGGATCCTGTTGGAGTAATAATATTAAACACAGTTAAACTTGACTTAATTTAATCTTGAAGTAGCCTAATTCAAGCAGAAGTTCTTTCTTCTAAGAATCTTATGTCTGTTGTAACTTGGTTAATCCTGAAGAGCCAAACACAGGTGCAATCTCATTCTGCTTTATTTCTTTGGTTTAAATACTCTTAATCTATTTCCAGGCTTTAAAGTGTTCTGTATCCTGAATTTTCAACTGCTATCCAAAATTTTCTTTCATTTGGGGCAGGGGAAAGAAAAAGAAGGGAGAAAGAGATCAATCTTTATCTTGTCTTCCAGCTGCTGTGATCCAAATTCTTCTCTTGTGAAGATAAATGTGGAATTGATCATCTGGGAATACCATCCTTTCCCCTGTCTGCTTGTACCTCCGCAAGCTCTTGGCTGTGAATATCCACATATACTATTGAAATCTACTTCTCTGGTGTAGAAAAGGATTTAGTGTATATAAATGGCTGCAGTCTGTCCTGGATTCTTAGGCTTGAAATTTGGGACATATTGTTGTCATTGCAAGTGGCACCACAATTGCAAAAACTTTCCCAGAATCGCACAAAAAGGTTGAAATTGTCAGCGACCCGTGGAGATCATCAAGTCCAGCCACCCTGTTCAAAGCAGGGTCAGCTAGAACAGGTTGCCCAGAACATTGTCTGATTGAGTTTAGAGCCTGCCCAAGAAAGAAGAGTCCACAGTAAAAGTTTTGGTTTTTTTTTTCCTTAATGTTTATATGGAAGTTCTTCTGGTTCATTGCCTGATGTCCTTGCATTGGGCAGCTCTGAGAAAAGCCTTGCCTTTTGTCTTTACTCCTCTCCATCAAAAGGAGAGTTGGAGCATCCAGCAGTGCTTGAAATAGCTTTTTAAAATGAGACAATTATCTTTGAAAAAACCACTACTGGAGGGTGGGGGGATGTTGCTGTGTGTATGTCATTCTGTAATAAAGATCCTGTGGTAAAGTAGTTAGAATACGAGACATTTTTAGTAATAATGGGCCAAAAAAAAAATCCTATTTAAGATGCAGCAAGATGCATGTGTTGTCATACTGAGAACAGTCTTGCAGTACTTTTTTTTATATTAAAAAAAAATAAATACAAAACCCAGTCCACAACCCTTTCCCCCTCCTCCCCCCTTCTGCTGTCCTATTCAAGCAACACAAGTTTGGCCTATGATACTATTGTAGTTCATGTTCATGGGAAACTGTATAAAGTCTGCTTTTTATTTATCTTTGCTGTCTGTATCATATGCTGTTTATTAAAAAAAAGAAACACTTTGGTTTTTATTCCACTTTTGAGTGTTAATGTATATACTAACAACTAAATTAAAATAATATGGTTGGTACGCTTGTGAATCCTGAACTGAGAATTTAAGGAATCTTCGGTCTTGGTCACTTGGTGTTGCAGCTCTGCTCTTGAAAAAGGCCAAAGGAAAAGAGAAATTGGGGAGGGGGGGCACAGAAATAAAATTTGCCCTATTTATGGATTGGAAGTCCTAGATGCATGTGGCATTCATTCTTGTACTTGCTGGTCCTCAAAAGAAGTAACTAATTTCAAATGAAGGCTGTAAAAGTTGTGATAAGAGAGTAGATGCCTTTGAAGTTTCAGCTGGATGTATTTAAGCCCCTGCCAAATAAGTTATTTTGTTTTATGAAAATATCCTTTGTATTTTCATTACCAAAGCTATATATAAAAAAATACATTTACAAACTAGGTTGTATTTTTATATCCAATATGAATTTTGAAAGTGTGAGAAACACAGTTGGGAAATTACTGCCAAGTACAAGAGTGTGGGGCTGCAAAGGAATTGTTTCTGGGGATGTGTTGATCTACTTTGGACTTGAGTTGCTAACAAACTCACAGAGGGGAGTTTGAGTTCTCCTGCTGAGAATTTAACTTCCTTGGAGAGATGAGGGAGGTGTTAGCTTTTTAATCATATAACTTCTATGCATCTCTGTCCCCCAGTAAGTTGTAAACTTTGCAGGCTGAAGAAAACTGGTGCTAGACAAGGTATCTCAGATAACCTCCTGTAAGTCCTTTCAAACACAAATCTACCTTCAGCAAAGGTTATTGCCATGACCTACACTAACTGCTTTCACTGAAGAGTTGACTTTGCTCTTCCTGTGGCAAGGATACATCCCTACTAATTTGAGATGAGCACTGTCTGTGTTGCTCATTTAAAGCACAGGGTGCATATCCGTGTTTCCAGTTGGAATGGGTTCTAGGTGACTAAAACCTGACCCAGAGCTGCCTGAACATCCCAAGCATGGGATGGTTTATAAAGTGACACCCATTTAGACTTTCCTGTGCACAGCACTGATGATGCTGTTTGATACCCGTGACTGAACTGCAGCTGCAGAGGGAATCAATCCCCCTCAGGTGTTTTTCTTTCACTCAGTCTTGTCTTTTTCTCTGGCACAGGTGGTGCTGGGCTGTGCTGCTTTGTGTGGAGAAGAAATCAGTCAAAAAGTACAGAAGATGTGTTGTACTTTCTGTGGAAATGACTTGGTTATCCTTGTTCTGTCTTGCCTAGTGGGACTGAATTCAAAGGAAAGGGCTTGAGTCTGGTTGTGTTTTCCTTTTTTTCCTTTTTCCCTTGGCAAATTATGGACCGTGTGTTGCTGTTACTGCCCTCCCCTGGAGTACCTTTTTTTTCTTTTTTTTCTTTTTGGAATATTTACATGGAATACTTTGTGGTGAATAGAAGGAGAAACATGTGGGCATCCAGCTCGTCGGGTGGCTGCAGCCAATTCATGAGAACTTTAACACAAGCTGTCCTGGCCAAACCTCAGCTCCTTCGTTGGAACGAAGAGCAGAGAACAACCTGAGCTGGGATGCCAGGATCTTGATTTGATTGGCAGGTAACAGATTCACCACATGTAATTTCTGAGGGCTCAGCACTGTGTATTCATGAGCATCCCTTTGCTTGTATTGATGCTGCTTTCCATCACAACTTGTGTGATCACAGCTCAAGCTCTTTCTATGGGACTTAAATCATATCAGGTCCCCCTAGAGCCGTGGTTCCGATGTTCAGGACAAAAGCTAAAGGCAGGGTTTTATAGAGTTTCAGCCTCCAGCTCCACCTGAGGCCAGAAGCAGAGTGTGATTTATTCATTTGTTACTCAGA